TCCAGATGTGCCTCTGTAAACATCAGCACAGGTTGCAGCATGAGCTCGTCCTCGTCCACTTTGAGTTCATGGGGTAAAATCAGGATTTTCTTTTTCTGGCGCTAACCAAGAGAACGCTTCAGTCTTATCTGCTCTGCGTTCCTCAGATCTTAGTACTTATTGGCGCTCTGGCTGCATGTTGTTGACCTTTGACCTCGGGCAGTCTGACATCAGACCGTGACCCCGGCTCGTGTCTCTGCAGGATCAGCCGGCTGTTCAGCGGTGCAGAGCCCATCGTGTTGGACAGTCTGAAGCAGCACTACTTCATCGACCGGGACGGCGACATCTTCCGCTACATCCTTAGTTTCCTGCGCACCTGCAAGCTGCTGCTTCCTGAAGACTTCCAGGTGAGCCCCTGCAGCAGCCGGCACAGGTGAACGCCTGTTCACGGTTCAGACCAGTTGCATTACTGATGATCTTTATATGGCTGCCCATCCGTGAGCCTGGGTCTTCCTGTTAAAAGGGAATTTTTCCACAGGCAGCGGTCCGCTTGTTGATTTCCTGTTATTGTGCGACCCTCAGCCTGAAGTATGAAGCTCGCTGAGGCACACGTGTGATTTGGTGCTACATTAACAAACCTGTAGCTGTATAACCCGTGAGCTTGGGCCAATCAGTGACCAGCAGAGCGTGAGAGGATCACATGCTGAGCAGAATCTAAATAAACTAAACCGAGACAACCGGCACGCGGTTTAGTTTATTTAGATTTCAGTTTCCATGGAAACAGCTAATGTTTATTTTAAAGTACTTTCATGGTCAAATTTCACAAATGTGTAAAACAAACTCTGACGCAGAGATGATTGGTTCATACTGAGACTCGTTTCAGCTCGGACTCTGTAACACGCCGATGCGGCGGCGCAGACGAGTGTCTTTTACTAAATGAAAGCAGGAGGTGTGTGTTAGCAGCATACTGTTTCCTCTGATCTGTGTGTGTTGTTACTGAGACACCCGGCTCACAGTGAGTCAGAGGGCCCGCGGACACACCGCCGCTTTACATAAACACACCCACCCCCACTTCCACCGGGGGGGGGCTTCGATGCAGCAGGACGCCTGAGGCAGTGAGGGGAAAAACCACAAACCTCCATCTGAGTGTCAGACAGAGAAAATCAGAGGCAAGAGAATTAAGTGTGCTCGGGTTTTCAGAATAAAAGCACCAGTACAGCAGGAAGTGAAGGTCAGGAGAGTTGTCTTTTTTAAAGGGAAATAGGAAGGAAAGAATTAAAGGAAAGAAGAATTGGAGAGAGGATGTGATGTGGAGCTCCTCGTGCTGCTGGGATTCTTCTCTGTGATTGGTAGATTGATCCTACATGCTCCAGCTGTTGATCTGACAGTTTTCAAATACCACGCAGGAAACAGGTCGTCCATCATGAGGTCATGTAATCAGGCTGATCTGTAATTAGCTTATTTATATTGATCAGCTGATCGTTGTCATGTGACTCTGTCCTCAGGACTTGCCCCAGCTGTACGAGGAGGCTCGGTACTACCAGCTGACTCCGATGGTGCGCGAGCTGGAGCGCTGGCAGGCGGAGCGCGAGGCCCAGCGGACGGCGCCCTGCGAGTGTCTGGTGGTCCGCGTCACACCTGACCTGGGCGAGAGGATCGCGCTGAGCGGCGAGAAGGTCCTCATCGAGGAAATCTTCCCCGAGACCGGAGACGTGATGTGCAACTCTGTGAACGCCGGCTGGAACCAGGACCCAACCCATGTCATCCGTTTCCCTCTGAACGGGTACCTGAGGCTCAACTCTGTGCAGGTGAGTCCGCTCGCATCGCCAAACGTTCTCCACACGCCAGGAGCCGAGGAGAGGCGGGTCTCATCTGTGCCTCCGTGTCTCCCTGCAGGTCCTCGAGCGCCTCTTCCTGAAGGGCTTCGAAATCAAGGCGTCCTGCGGCGGCGGCGTCGACTCGTCCCAGTTCAGCGAGTACGTGCTGTGTCGCGACCTGCAGCACAGCCAGTCCGTCAGCAGCACGCCAATCCGGATTAAGCAAGAGCCTCTGGACTAAAGAGCAGCGGTGACCGTGTCACCTGAGCACACCTGGAGCGGAGGCCTCAGGAGGCGGAGCTTGGCTGCCGTGTACATAATGGTTTTTCTAAGTGTCATTACATTTTTATAAAGTGCTGTTTGTATATTTAATGTGTTTGTAGCTCAGCTGTTGTTCTCATAAAAAGAAACCACACAAAGCTCCGCCCACTTTCTCCTTCTCTTTATTTCATTTTTTTTGCAAAGGTACAAACGACTGTAAAACGGCCCGGCGGGCCTCAGGTGCGAATACACAATGTAGGAAATATAAATAGTCCCAAAAATGGCGTCCTTCAGTTCATAGGGCTCTACGCCATCGCCACACAGACCGACATTAAAGCGTTAAAAACCTTCCGGAAACTTTCAAACTGCATTTCAACCACGAGGCTCGAGTCCAGTCGCACGCAGCCGCCGCCAGGAGGAGGAGCACTTCCTGTTTCACCTTAAAGGGACAGTCCGTCAGTCTACCTGCTGAGAGTCGTGACGTTCAGACCCCGCCCCCTTCCAATGAAGCCACTCGTCATCAACATTTTTTCTAAAGAAACGACTTCATGAGGAAAAATGTTTTTTTTCCCTCAAACGTGTAGAAAGTTGGAATTTTAGGCTACAGTCACCCTACGGTAACCGCGGTAACCACAGTTGCTAGGGAAAATAAATCTGCATTCTGCAGATGGCGCTGCATTAAAATCCTCGTGATCACGCGGCCGATGTTTTCCGAGCTGCATGGAAACCATGCCGGAAGTTGTAATAGTTCACCTTCAAAGTAAAAGCTTTGGCGTCACAGGCAACAAGATTTTAGCGCGTTTGCAGACAAGGTGCGTGTTCAGCGGGCGATCACAACAACAACGGGTGGTTACCAGAGCGTCAGTCTGCGTTAACAGGATATTTGTAATTTCATTATCTGAGAAAAGAATCAGCTGGTTAATCAAAACAAACTGGACATTGATTTTTCTAATCGATAAAAAGTTTTCAGGTTGTGAAATCTTGCTAGGTTTTGCGCTCAATTTGCCCGAAAACACCACGACTTCACCGATCTGACCGTCCGGCTCTCACACAGATTTGTCTTAATGTTAAACTGTTCCTTTGACGAACACAACATCGTGAAAAGAAGCTCCTCCCATCACGTGACGGAACTGAGCCGAAGGATCTGAGCGCGATCAGAAAACTTTCAAAACAAAACGATGAGCCTGCGAGCCTGGCGTCCTGAGTGGGCCAACAGGAAATCTAAAGAGGTCGGGAAAGGTTTGACTCAAAGGCACCTGTTCAGGTACAGCGCTGGAGTCCGGAGGCGCTCGCCACCTCATCTCACAGGAGAAGCTCAGTGTCACGCTGCATGCCTGTCAGCTCAGCTCAGCTTTTTATGGCGTCACAGGAACACCACGTGAAACCGCGCAAGACGGTTCACGTGTTGATTGGCGGACTAATTGCGTGGAGTTGCAGCGGAGGAGTTGCTGTGGACGAAAGGTTTCTAAGAGGAAGAGAAACCACAGCAACCAGAAACATTGGCGAAGAACAAAAGGACCCAAAGTGGCGCCCTGACGAACTCCACGCTGAAGTAGAATTTGCTCAAATGAGTAACTAAGAGAATAATTACAGGTGATGTTCCTCAAGTCAGCGGCTAGACACAACAGAGGAGATCTCCCACACAGCTTCTCGAGGTCCAGCTGGATTGTGGGTAATGGAGGGGGCGGACTTAATAAGGCAGTTTATTTCCTGGTCACATGACTTGAAACAGTATTCAACAGCAGTTTGTTCCAGACGTCACTGCTGGACTCAACTACAGGGGTAGGCGTGGCCACAGCTTCGATAGCGTAACCCAGGCCGCGTTTCACACCCTGTTTTAAACTGCATCAACGAGCAGCCGAGCACCAAAACAGACCAGCCTTTCAGCCAATCACAATCTGTCCAATCAGCCTTGGATCTGGTTTCTGATTGGCCTGATCTGGATGAGAGCAGTGGAGTGCTCCGCTAACGGAAGGGCGAGCTGAGGCGGGATGTCCTTTTCTAAAAATAATCGTAAAAGCAGAGCTGAGCGTTGAAAGGTGCCGTAAGGACTGAAGACCAGAATCAAACACCTCCGCTGGAGGACTGGGGGCGAGGGGGGGCGGCTGCGGTGGCTCCCTCCTCACTTCAGCAGAGCCTTGTAGAGTATCAGGGAGCGAGCCGTGGGCCGATCGTGCTCCATACAGAAGATTAAGTCCCTGAGGTTAACTCGTGTGATGCGCTGGCGGGGCTGCTGGCGGGAGGAGCCGGCCACGGAGGAGCCGGCGGCTGAGCCCGAGGACACCTGGAGAGGAGGAAGGAGAGAGGAGGCAGTGAGCAGGAAACAAACATGGAAGGAAAAAACATCCTGATGAGCTAAAGCTGCACTTGCTGTGCGACCTCTGACACACCGTTTGTCTCGCGGTCTTAAAAAGTGCCTGAAGCACAGCGACCTTTGACCTCCATGTTTGGTGCATTTAGAGATGCCGGGTCTATGCCGAGGCTCCGCCCCATGTCTGCACAAGCTCTCCCACGCTGCTTTAATCCCTCGCTGGGTCCAGACCTGCTGCTGGGCCACACCTGCGTGCGGAGGGCGCGCAGGCAGCCGGAGGTCAGGTGACTCCCAGCCCTGCAGCGATTAGTCAAAGTACTGAGCAGCTGCTGCTCCAACATGCCCGTCGCAGCAGTTCCAGTCACACGGTCTAAGGTGAGCCAATCATATTCAAGCATCCAAAACGAGAGAAACTGATGAAGCCCCCCCCCCCACGACCGAAAAGGCCCCAATAATCCAGAAAGGCCCTGAGCGATGGGTTCTCACAGAGCTGCAGGTATCTGCAATCAGCTGATGGCGAACGTGATGGCGAGCTGCAGGCTGCTGGATGTTATATAAAGGAAGATGGACTTCCTGTTTCATTCAGAGCTGACAACGCCAAAGTGACACCTGCGTGCACGCGTCTGCGACTCAGTCCTGTCAGCACGTGTCACGGCGTCCGAGCGCTGCTCCCTCTCCCACGCCGCTGGAAATTTCCAGCACAAAGAGATTTGTGTTGCCTCTTTCTAATCTGCCCTGGAGCTGCAGCAGTTTGCCCTTCAGCATCCACTGCAGGCCCGATCAGGCTTCAGCTGGGTCTGCCCGCCCCGGACCCGCCCCCACCACCTCAGGCTGTAGCCTGCTCTGAATGCACGCCTGCAGACGCCGTGTTTCACCAACAGGAAGCACAAACGCTTCCTTTCATTCGGCTTTGATCACCTTCAGGCTCAGTTTGAACTTCTTTGTTTCTAACAGTGGGGCGCATTCGTGAGAACACCTGAGCAGGTTTCACGGCACAAACACAGACTCTCCCAGCACCAACCAAAGCTGCCCCGACACCGCCTCGCCCCACACAAATGCGACCTCTGTCCCTCAGCGGGCCGTCTAAGCTTGTACCATTAACACTGATGGTGTGTGAACTCACGCTCAGCGGGGGCTCAGGTAAAGGCTCCATCTACACCGACGCCCTGCGGGCTCGTGAACGCCCCTCAGGGTGACTACAGGAGCCACGGCGGTTCACTCTGCAGCGCTGCTGCCACACGGTAAGGTTTGAGCTTCTCATTGAGCTGACTCCTCTGAGCTCAGAGCGTCCACGAACACAAACGGCGTCTGATCCTAATGCAGGCTGAGCTCAGTGAGCTCGCGCCACACACTCCATCGCGCGGTCATTCCTCTCAACCTCCAATCAGGAGCTTCATTTCCTGAGAAAAGCACTAACAGCTGCAAACATCTGGAGCCCACCCCAGTTCATAAGCCAATAAGTTAATTCATTAGTCAAACGAGCATGGCGCCAGCACACCGTTACTAAAACATGAACACAGCACCTCCGACCGGAGTGCCTCGCCCCTGTTGCCCCGCCCCCACGCTTGCTGCCAGCTGCTCTGTATCTGCTAAACGAGCCCAGAAATGCTGGATTTCTCTGTAGGGGCTTGGCTTTGTCTGCGGCTGCTGGGGGGCCAGCCCCAGGCAGGACAGGATGGGCAGGGGGGCACCACCCACCCCCGCTGTCTCAGTTCATTTCAGAAATGAATGGCTGCCCCTGAGGGGAGGGGGAGGTGGCAGAGGGGGAAAGTCAGACCCTCACAGCCCCCAGGCACACACTGACCCCCTTCACTCAACTCTGCTCACATTCACAGCCTGAATTGAGGAGGAGGGGGGGTCGTTATATACACGCGCGCTCTCTCGTGATTGGTCAGACACGCTGCAGGTTCTCCACTATGTGCCATTAAAAGCGCAGCAGCAGAAGAAGTAAACATACAGTTCCTCTGACGACCACCGGAGGCAGCAGTGAGTCATCACCTATACGGGTGGATGAAGGTGGAGGTTGTTCAGTAATGTATTCAACTGGTCATGCAGGGGCTCTGAGCAGTAGCGCCCCATGATGCACAGCTGGTTGGAAGAACAGCTGAGCTAGCAGCTGACATCATCACACATACACGATGATGATGATGATGTGGTTCCCTGCTGTGTTCTGTTTCTTACACCACCTCTGAGTTGGTGTCTTACCTCTGTGCCAGCTCCGCCCGGTGAGTCCAGCTTGCGTTTCTTGCGCGGGCCGATGGCGGCGAGCGCAGTGAGGTTGGCGTCTCTCTGTCGCATCTGAGCAAGCTCCTGCTGCTGCATCTGTGGGAACAATCAGAACATCAGGAATAATCACATGAC